AGAATAGATTCTCAGCTTGCTCAGTCTCAGAATGTAGCGGCGAAATACTCGTCGCTGGGCCACGGTTCTCAGCCCATAGTCGGCAATGGAAAAGAGCTTGATCAGTTCATGGTATGTTTTTTCTCTTGTCTTTCGATGGATTGTTTAATAAGGTGGATTGGGAAGGCCGTATTGTTCTCCGAGTTGGAGAAAGATTATAAAATTATTTCTCTCTCTGCACTCTGTAAGTATCTTCATTTGTTTATTTTCCACTTTGGAAGTTGAGACATTCTTCTTGGGGAATTTAGCATGTCTAGAGGCATCCTCGTCTCCGCAAAAATGCCGGTCTGAATAACAGAGACTCCCCCTCTCCTCCTCTCTTTTCCTCCCTTAAGTTGGGGGAGGGTTACCCTCTGTGTGAATTTTGCTTTTTGAATCCAATTCATCGATTACTGGTTTTGAATTATTGATTACAAAATGTTTGAGAGATAATTGCTGGCGATTTGAAGCTCTGAGGTTGGGAAAATCAGCACCCCTTTTCAATTTAATAACTAAGGCTGGGAAAGCGAGTGACTGTCCATACATTATTGAACTGGAATGGTGCGATTCCTCGTAAAGGAAGTCTCCACACACTACGGATTCATGCTTTTTTCCAGAAGTCCATTACTTAAAAGCTGATTTCTTAATTGTATGCTTCATGCCATTATCTGTCAATTTCCAAGGACATAATCGATGTCTAATATTGTCTTGCCATCATACTCGAGTAAACTTAAGCACTTTTTATTGTCAATGTCTACCTCTTCCTTTCATACTGTTCTATGATGTTTGTATCCAATTTCTTGAAGTAGTTGTTGACTCTTCAAGATAAATATTTTCAGTGTTTTTCTTCTGGATACCATTTCAAATCTCAAACTAGGACATGTTGCCTTCTCAACCTTCTTACATGACGTAATTTGTTTCCTGCAAGACATGTCTTGTATGATATTGTCAAAATTGAAGTAAATTACCTTGAAGTGCGGCATGAATTTATCTGTTGCTACTCGTACATTGCAGATGTTTAGTTTTGACAGCTTGATGTTGCTAATTAAATCGTCATTGTTTTTCATTCCCTGTGCTGCAGACGCATTATGTTTTACTGCTTTGTTCTTTTAAAGAACAACTGCAGCAACATGTCCGTGTCCATGCAATGGAAGCAGTATACGCCTGCTGGGAAATTGAGCAATCTTTGCAAAGCTTGACAGGTGATTTTCAAACAATAAGAGTGAAAAAGATAAAGGAAGGAAGAAAGAGAATAGAGAGAACTATATACAATGGTTGAATGCTTATTGGTCATTCTATTTAGCAGTTGGTTTCCCTACTGAATTGAAGTTTCATTCTCCTCCTTAAGGATAAAGCTCGTACTTTTGTCACCTCTACATGTTTTACAAGTATACCTAAACACTTCTTAACCAGTAAGAAATTTCTTTACTGCCACATATCCCTATGATTATGACTTGATAAATTTGCATAGGAAGTATGGGGATAGCCTTCTTCCTGTTGGAGGCCTGGAGGGAAACTGAAGAAAGGAAGTATAAAATCCTGTTGTTAAGTATTTGGAGTTAAAAATCTGTATAGTCTTTAGTTTTCCTCTGACGTTTTCTGGGTGTTTTTGGCTTACAATGACTATCCATGTGAGTCCACATATTTTTGTATACCATGGATTGGGAATTGCTATTGATTACTTTTATTAACCATATCACATGACGTGCTGAGTGGGCTTCTTTGAAACCACCTCTCTAGGCTCTTGACCTTTGAGCCCTGAAGTTCCCTTAATCTCATACCCACATTGGGACACTCGTTGAGATTTCACGAGCTAAGACTTAGGATATCAAAAGGTGCAGCTCTGTTTCAGTTTGTACCTAAAATACAGATGGGTATGACTCAAAAATGGATATTAAATTGGACGAGCATAGAATAAGATCCTCTTTTAGCCTGTCGTTTATGTTAACATCTGAATTTCTGTGATTTTGAACTATAGAGCACCTTTATGATCCTACGTATTTTCCCACGTTTTAGTTCCAAAACGACTGAGATTTCTTGAGTAACAGGCTTTTCTTATTCAAATAGGAAATAGATGTTAATTACTTAATTCCTTGAACTGCCACCAGAGTAGATGATTGCATGTTATTCGTTTTTTCTGTCTACACCCGATGACTATTTTTGCTCTGGTGGTTATATAATGCTAATTCTTCGAATCAAGGGTTGTGTTGGATGATATATAATTTCTGGTAATAAAAGCTATAATTATTTCTGCATTTTCCTCGTCTAGGTGTTTCACCAGGTGAAGGTACGGGTGCTACAATGTCTGATGATGACGAAGACCAAATAGATAGTGATGCTAGTTTGTTTGATGGAAGTTTTGAGGGTAATGATGCTATGGGATTTGGTCCTCTTATCCCAACAGAGAGCGAGAGATCCTTGATGGAGAGGGTGAGACACGAATTGAAGCATGAACTAAAGAATGTGAGACCTCTATTTTTTTTTTATTCTTGGTTTAATTCCTTTTTATTATTTCGATAGTTATGTATGGATTTGTCTATATGAACAACGGTTGTTTCACAAATATTTAATAATCTGCTGTCTTAAACCAACAATGAAAGTAACTCTGCCTTTAACAGGGTTACAAGGAGAAAATTGTAGACATAAGGGAGGAAATTTTACGAAAAAGGAGAGCAGGTAAACTTCCTGGTGACACCACATCCGTCCTAAAGGCTTGGTGGCAATCACATTCAAAATGGCCATATCCTACTGTAAGTTTGGGCTGCTTCTAAATTTTATTTCAATTTTGAGCTACTGCAATGAATTATATAGTAAACACATTTTGAGTATACATACCACAAAAAATAAAGAATGGGTAATGAAGGAGAAACCACAAAATATCTGAATACTTCTTTGATGATTGCACAGTAGAAATTTCTTGTTGCCTACCATTAAGGCCTTTTTTGTAGCTGGGGGAAGGAAAAACAGAGAGGGAAGAAATTAAATACTTGTCAAAAATTTAGTGGCGAAGAGTAGAAAACTCAAAATTAATTGGTAATGAGAGGAGTAGTCCATATCTATTATAAATCCTTGTTAGATACCTAAATCCTTGGTAGATCCCTTATCTATTTAAGGTGGGATGTTTAAAATCATATAGGAACATTTCACTTCCTCACACTACGATATACATTATTATCTCTCTTGGGGTTTGGGGGTGGGGTGGAAACTTATTCATGGAAGGACATTCGAGCCACAAAAGAAGCAATGTAGTTCTGCCTTCTATGGAATCTCTGTGACAATCCTTAGAAGGTCAAAAATGACCAAGTAGTTGTGACGCTCTATTCTGAAAGTATCCCACTGCTCTTATATTGATTTTTTGTTTCCCTCATTTTAGGAGGATGATAAAGCAAAGCTAGTTCAGGAAACTGGTCTGCAACTGAAGCAGATAAATAACTGGTTTATCAACCAGAGGAAGCGGAATTGGCACACCAATCCTTCAACATCGACAACCTTGAAGAGCAAACGCAAAAGGTATAGTATAGCTACTAAGCCATAAATGCTAGTGAAGAACTTGTGTGACTTGCTCTGACCATACATTTGAAAAAAGAAGTAATGCAGGTGAGACAACAGGCAACGAACATCTCCCATAGCTCAAGATATAAATCAAACAAATTCGAAGCATCATAACACGAGCAGTTAGTACAAAGGATGAAACTGGAAATTAATTGTGTACTCTGGAGTGAGGCATGGCATTATTCATATGCTGAAAAGGAATGTGAATGGTGAAGAAGATGGATTCTACACACAACATTAGAGTTTAAATTTGTGAGGTCTTCCACTTGCTTTATTGAGATGTTAAAGAATTTTTCTTGGCCAGGAATAGATGTATAGTGTAATTAATAAGCTGTGTATGGTTGTTTACCGGCGATTATAGATTTTTCTTGACACGTCTTAGATAAGATTCAAGATTGAGTTGGAAGTTGTAGTCAGTATGGTAATATATAGCCTTTTAACAGTATTTTTATTCTCTGAAAATTTTGACTCAAATCCCTTGACCACCCACAACTCCGCGACACGTGATCTAGAATCATGATTGAACTAAACGTTTAAAACATACATTTTTTTTTTGTTCAATTATTGGCCAATCCGAACATTATTCATTAATTTGTCACCATTGGAATAATAATTGTTCGTAATGTTATTTATTTTATTTTTGTTGGATGCGCACAGGCAGTTACAAGTTTTTTTTGGCAGCATGTTATAACTATTCAATATTTTATTTTCATAAAAACTAGTATTAAAATATATATATATATATATATATATTATAGTATAACAACAGGGCTGGAGATTCAAACTCATAATCTTCTGATCAAAGACATCCACCGGTTCTTCCTGAGCTAAGCTCTGACAAAGTCAATATTTTACGAATATGCTAAGATTCTTACCAATGTAAATCAAACCAATAATACTATTTTTTTTTGTTTTTTGAAAAAAATAGTATGGTATATAAATACTATAATGTTATCACTCATACCAATACCATTCTCAATATTATTTTAATACTATATTTGCTTTCACAAAGAATATATATCTTATTAAAAAAGGAAAAAGAATATATATAATCTATTAAGACGATTTACCATCTCATATTATATGTGATTGAAATATTGATTAAGGTAGTCAATCGAGTATAGACCAATTTAATTGATTAAAGATATATATTCCGACCAAAATATTGTGGGGTTTGAATTCTTACTCTAAGCATGATTGTACTAATAAATATATAGAGAGAGTAAGAATCTATCTTCTTTTTTTTTTTACTCTAATATCATTTTCTTTCTCAACATTTGTTCTTGTATAAAATTCATAATAATATCGTGTTAAATAATTATTTTATTATCAACATGAACTTAACTCAACCAGAGTTCAAGTTGGAATGCTCCACCGTACTCATATGAAATATAAACAAATAATGATTTTATTCTCTATATATGTACGTCATATTACCTCTGTATCAACTTTTCCTTAAACTTGTGTATTATTTTTGAGAATTTTAACTTTTCCTTTTGCTCATTTATTAAATTTTCAATAGAAAAGAAAAAAAAATCTTAAATGGGTGGATTTCTCAAAGAATAACCATAAGCGTGCATTTAATTATTTTTAAACAGTAAAAATAAGAAGAAAAAAAGAAAAGAAAAGCAATGTACATAAATGATAAAATATGACATTGGCCAAGAACAGATCGAACCCTATCTGAGACTGACATCACGATTCACATCATACTTGGCTTCTGTTCATTCCGATTCCCAATCCGATCGGAGTTGCAGACGGTGCTCTAAAACCATGGCGTCCACTTCCGCCTCCGTCTTCTCCGCTCCCTTCGTCAAAATTCAAAGCGTAACTCCTCGGATCGTACTGAAATCTCACACTCCGTTTCTTGCTAATTATTCCACTAATGAAGCTTCTCCACTTCCGCCCTGCCACGGCTTTTATAATCTCCTTGAATCTCTTCACCTTCTTCATCATCCAACTCTGTTTCACTTGATCCTCGTGCGGTTGCAGCGGTAGATATCGGCACCGGACGCCGTCGCTGCTCCGAGCCTGTCTCGATCCGAATCCGAAGAAACATCCGCACGAGGAATATGACGAAACTCCGACTTCACGATCATCATCCTCCTCGATCCGATCGGTTCGCAAGGTCTCATCAATGGAGGAAGAAGAAGTAGAAGAAGAATAAGACGCCATTCAAAAAAAGCCAAATCGAGAGAGAGAGAGAGAGAGAGAGCTTCAGCGGCCATGGAAGAAGCGAGCCGCAGATCAAATATAGTCGTCTTTCCGAAACGGAGATGGAATCCGAGACGAAAGGCTCCAAACTCAAGTGACAGCGCTGCTCATCAAGAATTTTTAAAACGGACCAATGAGATTCCGCCACGAATCCAACGATTTCAGTGCGGGCTTCCTTCAAATCCAAACCTTGGTGGGCCCCATGTCGTCAGAGATTTACAGCTGTTGATTAAGTGGGACCCGTTAATTGACGGTCTGATTGGCCAAGATAATCGCTTTGTCCCGTCTCGTTTCGTACGCCGCAGATGTAGGCTATTATTGCCCGCTCATATAATTTTGTTACATTTAATATCATAAATCATAATGTTCCTGTGTCCAATATTTAATAAATATATATCAGAAAATAATCCCTTGTGTTTTACGACTTCCGTGCAATAATCCAAATTGTGTTCAGACGGTACGGGACCACTCTCAAGTTCGCTACAAATATTATTATTTGATTTTTCTTTTTACAGTAATACCTTATAAGTTATAATTGTAGGAGATTAAAATCCTTAATATATGGTCACAATGTGACTGTTATTATGATTAAACAATACTTCGTGGAAAAAAATATTAAAGAATATTATAATTTATTCGTCATTCATCTTACCGTATATGATTATTAGTCAGTTAAATTGAATATCTTTTCCTCCCTATTTATTTCATTGTTAATTTTAAATATATATATTTTTTTAGTTTTAAATTTTTGGATATGACTTTGAAAATATTCGTGTTGTTATCATAGATGTGACCTTCATTAATAGCCTTACAAAATGTAATTATTTGTCAAAATCATATTGAATCTGAATAAATAGCAATTTTGTACAAAGCTAACATGACTCAATGAAGATATATGTCTTAACCATTTGAGCTATGCTGCGAGTTAAGACATCTATATTCGACCAAAAATCATGATTTTGGATTCCCCACTCATATATTGTACTAAAAAAATAATAATTTTGTATCACTAATATTGTCGTTATAGTTTGACAACTGAATAAAAATGTAGGTAGCGATTCTTTTATTTATTTTAAAAGAAATGGGTTGATTTGTTAATGATGGTTTAGTGTTTAGAATACTTACAAGTTGGAAATAAGGTAAGTGGAGTGCACATTATTCTATGACCAAACGTTGAAGAAAGGAATTTGCGAAGTTGAAGCTTAGAATTCTAGTTGACAACTAAGCTAAGTGAGCGTACACTATTTCTATAACCAAACGCCCCCAGTTCCGAACCAACCAAACAGAATAGCTGCAATATTTATCACATACGAAAGCAATAATTAGCTCTAAATTAAATTAATTAATTTAATCGCACCGACTTTAACGGCATCTTCCATTTAAACGTCCAATCATAACTACCTCCCAATCATAATCCTTGCATTTTAAGAAACCAACTTGTGTTCTTTTAATTATAACATATTTTTGATCCATGAGCTTAGATTTTTGTCATCCCTTTGTATTTATATAATTTTTTTTAAATATTATTTTAATTATTCTACTTCAAGTTTTGCTTTAYTTAAGTGGTTAATTTTAAAACTTTAAATATTATAGTTTTTGTACTCGAAGATTCTTGCATTAACTAATTGAGTTATACTCACTATCTACCTATTATTTTGACAAGAATAATATCTAACCTTATTACTATTGATCTTTTTCTCCAACATTAATTTATTTTCATTAACTATTTGTTTGGAGAGTTATAATATATCTGCCAAAAGAACTCTACAAGAGTGTTACCAATATGAGCATGGCTAAAGATTTCTAGCGGGGATGTTATTTCTCATCAATGAAGGATTAACGTCCATTATGAGGTAATCTACAATGAGTGAAATATAGTATCAGTATGGTATTGAATCCACGACACTCTGATGTGTACCTAATATTGATAGTCACTTTATCGTTTATAGTGGTGGTCTCATTAGGGTGAGGATGCAATGAGTTTTTATTTGTACAAGTCTATTTGTACATTCTGTCATCCCAATGCACCAACTCATCGGTTTGCAAGTAGTAAAGGGTTAGACCAAGGTAACATCTTGCTGGATCTTATTGCTAGTTCATATTATGTTATTTCACTACAATAAATTTTATTTTTGGCAATGACACTTCTGGTGACGCATTGAAATTTTGTTATCATAGGGTACTTTTGGCGACCAAAATTAAATTTCGTTGCCAAAAGTTCCCTATGAGACGACATTTTAATTCGTCACAAAAAATTGTGTCTAATTTCAAAATTCTCAGTCAAAGAAAATTTTCTTTCCTCTTCAAGCTCCTGTTCGGACCTTTATAATGGGCTTGTGTTTGGTCTTAGTGTCGCCATGAGGTTAGTCCTTCTTGACTTTTAGTGCAATGCATCATGTATTAACCACGCGGCTATCTAGTTCATCTTTTTTAGTTTAACAATTTTAGAGCGGAGATCGGACCTTCAACCTTAGGAAAAGTATAGATGTCTTAGTCTTTGTTAGGTTGTAAAGTACATATATTCTTTATGCAGTTATGCTTTAATATATATATTAGACAAAAATATATAGGTTAAATAGCAAGTTTAGTCCCTAAACATTCAAGACTATGTCTAATAAGTCTCTAAATTAAGTGTTTAATAGGACTACAAACTTTCGAATTTTTGTTTAATAGTCCATGAATTTTTAAATTTGTGTCTATTAATTCTTCATCCTATTCAAGTAAAAATTTCACATGTTTAATTAGACACAAATTTCATGGTCATTTACTCAGTATACTCAAAATTGAAATTTGAATAACCTATTAACAAAAAAAAATCGAACCTATCAAACACAAAATGTAAATTCAAACACCTCTTAAAATTCATGAACATATAAAAATAGAAATACACTCCCTATTTTTCTTTAGTACACTAAATGTAGAGATAGAAAATTCAACTCCAATTTTTTTTTTTTTAATTTCTAAACTATGTTGAGATTAAGAACATAGTGTAAATATAGGATGAAAGTGATCATTATTATACAACCACTTGGAATGGACAAATTGGGATTCTATACACTCATTTAAGGCCCCACTTCACGCTACCAATATGGTACATGGCCACGCTCCTTTTCTCTTTTTCTTTGTCGGTTCCTCCTTTAATTCGAGAAAATTTGCCTTGTTCCTTTTGGATTCTTAGAATATGGTTTTTCTAATTATTATACAAATTATCATCTAACTTTTGTCTATATATGCTAGTCATTCAATTAGATTGTAAATTTGAAAATAACTAAGACATTACTAACTCTTTTAGAAAATTGGATGATAAAATTCCTCGTTGATATAAGCAGAGTTCAATTTGGTACGATATTGTATATATAAATTTGGAGGTTAAAAATCTCTCATTCCCTTATTATATTTAAAGAAACGTTTAAATATCTCCTCTTATTTTGAATTAAAAAATAATCTAATTATATTCAATTGATATCTTCATCCGTGATATTTTCGTTTTGAAATACAACAAGTGTAAGGGTATAATAATTTGAACCTTCTGCTACAAGAGAATGAATATCATATTAGTATTTTCGTCATTGAGTCAATAGTGTATTCAAAGACCAACATATTTTAATTATTTATTATTATTATTTTGAGCTTACAAAATTTTATCAAAAATTGATACTTTAACTAATTAAATTATATTCAAGTTGACTATTAATTTTTTAGATTAATTAAATTATGTTCAAGTTGAAACCACCCGACATTTTGCAGTGGAGGAAGAAATAAAGGAAAAGATAAAATCTAGGTGGGTGGATTTCACTTGATTTCTTTCAAAATATTTTGTCTAATTTTATAACATATGCACTTAAAAGGAGGAAAAAGAATAATGACATCATTGTTGGCATCATCAATTCATTGACTCTCGAAGTCTACACCGACTTTACTTTTCATCATCTCTTAGTCTGAAAAAAATCTTGATGCATGTGTTTGAATAATACAGTTGAAAAATATATATTTATAATTTTAAATGGAATTATTTCATTTCGTGACGCGTATATATATCAAAATGAAACAATAAAAATATCATATTAGCAAAAACATGATACGTTTCATTTTTATAAAGTTAAAACAGTTTACACTTTATTTTGATCTATCCATCTAATTATGTAAAAATATGGAATAGATAATATTATTAAGTTTTTTTTTTTTTCTTTTTTTCCTTTCGGTGTGAAAGAATAAAGAAAAAGGATGGCATAATGTTTCTCAGAACACGTCACTTTTATTTTCAGATCAAAAAGTTGTCTAAAAAAGACTTTAATTACTTTTTGTCACACAATAACCTTTTCCTATACTTTTGCTCATAAGGTGAACTTAAAGACATAAATTGCAAGTTGAAAAGGTTGTTGGTAGATTACTTCATTCTTTACAGATTGGTTCTCTCCCTCGAGGACGAACAAAACAAAATAAAGTATGAGAAGCTGATTCATTCCGCTTTTTAAGATAAAATTCCACTTTCATCCATCAATCATGTTAAAAATAAATTAAATTATCAACAACTATGTATAATCACTCTGACGCTTAAGTTTGTCGGAACTAGCTTACTCTCAAATTCAAGTTGAGATTCACGTATACCTATAAATTAGTTCATCCTCAGTATTTATAGGTTGCCATCGACGCGAGATGTTAATTGTCCACAATATCCTCTGTAGCAACTACAGAGTGGCGGGAGGTGGGTGGTTAGAGTGCCACTCGTGGCACCTTTGAATTTCTTATGCTCCCTGCATAATAATGCGTTGTTCTGACTTCCTTGAAGGTCAGGTCTGAATGTACAAAATTGACCCAATTGATCGAATTAGATTTGGTTTAATTACTAATTTAATTTATATGGTTGGATGATTTCAGTTTAATTTCAATTTCATTTTAACAATTGTTTCTATAATTCCTAATGACGATTCACCTACTTATTCACTGCTAACTTTTTCTGATATTTGACTATACCAATTATGGTCAACTTGAAAAGTTAAAAACATATGGAATAAATTGGGACTCAATTTTTAAAATTGAAACTAATCCAGACGAATTGAAGGACCTCCAATGTTTGTTGAACAGAAAAGTTACGAAATAGTTGTTAAAAGAAGCGAGAGCATGAAGGCAATAAGTTCGTTTTGGAACGATTTGAATATTTTATTTCATCAATCAAGAAAAAGAAAAAAAAAAAAAAGAGAAACAAGATAGGTGTTTACAATTTCACTAGAACTTGAAGGAGAAATTTACATTAAAAATCCGCCAAAAAATAATCTTAAGTTCCGTTCCGTGGGGATCAACTACACGCAGCAACGGTACTGACTCCGGCTTGAGATCCGGCAAATTTGGCTGCCGGAAGGCGCGGCAATCTGGCGGCGAAATTTCTGAGCGGAAATTCATCGTCGTAACGGGAATCGTCCTCAAAATTAAGCGCGTAGCTGGAAGAATCGTAGGTAAAGTCAGGGGAAGCGTGGTACCTTCTCCGGCTGCCGCGACCGATCCGAGCGACGAGATAGCGGCAGCGGTCAAGTAAGTCGGGGAATTCAGCGGCCGTAGATTTGAACCAGGAACACGGCGATTTGGTCGACGGCTGGTCGGAGGCGCGGAAGCAGCCGATGGAGGACTTGAGCTTGTGAGCGAAGGAGGAAGAGTGATGAAAATCGGCCAACATTTTTTTAATTAAACGCAGATTTCTTTTTTTTTTTGACTTATGAGGGAAGCGAGTGGGAGAGGGGCGATTTTATAGGTTGGGGGCAAAAAAGGAAGTGGAAAAAGAGAGTGGATAAGGATGGTGGCGCCGGAAAAAGCGAGGAAACCGCGGAGCGGAGGGAGGTGGGGATTGGGATTTTATGTGTCAAATCCGCGTCGGATTTTTTGGGGCAAAATGTCGAAATTATCCACAATCTCACTTTATGACTCAGACACACTGAAATCTTTTCTTGTTGGTTGTTTGCTTAGTCAGAAAATGAGCATTTTTTTCTTCGAATATAAGATTAAGGGTATTTGGCTTTAGTTTTCTTGGTCCACAAACGACAAAAGCTCCAGCAAGTGGAAAAGAAAATTTTGGTTTTTTCTTTTTCATTAACTTTTTTGCATAGCCGATGCTGATATGATAAGAACTTTTGTATTAAATAAAAAGGAAGAAGATATGATATGATAAGAGCCTTTTCTTTTTTTTTTTTTAATTTTTATCTTGAAAGTGCGACAAGTAGAAATGGAATTGGAATTGAAATTGGCAAATCTTTAGTATATTTTGGAGAGTTTAGTGGTACTTAAAAATACCCTCTTTTTTTTTCCTTTTTAATCTCCTGTGTTACCGTTGTTCCAAGTGCCTGTATGAAAGTGTGTGGTTTTCAGTGGCTTTGTTTGACATTGACCAACTGAGGGCTAGAGTGGTCCATTAGACCAACTTGATCTGTGAATGGACTTGATGGGCTTTGACTGTGACCAAACTAACGTAGGCCCATTCTCATTTCACGTCCAAAGTAATTGTTATTTGAAAATAATAATAATAAATGAGAAATAATTTAGGAAATCCGAATCACCATTCACCACAAGTTTCGAATTACGCATTTAATAAATTACAAAATTGATTCTATTTTTCTTTTGAGATGAGTTTTTTATATGCTCGCATTAGAAAAGTCATTGTTGGCCTCGCTGGATGTTTGATTCTCACACAAGAACAGCCTAAGCTGCCTAACCTATAGACTGTTCTTGTGTGTGTGTGTGTGACTTTTTTCTTCTTTTATGGGATTATACGATTTCTTGAAAAATGACAGCCTCAGTTGTATTTATAATAGCAAACATAAAATAATTTTAAAAAACGATTATGAGACTTTTATTTTGTGTGTGTTTTTTTTTTCTTTTTTGTCTCGGACATTTTGAATTTAATTTCAAAAATTTTAATTTAGGTCAAAAAACGGTTGGTAAATTGATTGACCTAAATAATTTCTCATTTCACACAAAATATCCAATACAACCACAAATATCCAAATAGGAAGAAAACAGTAAAGACAAGTAAATGACACAACAAATTATACTGGTTCACCACTAAGGGCTACGTCCAGTTTTCCACTTAGATGTGGACAATAACCCTTTTTCGACTAAGAAACCCTAAACCCGAAACTGCATTTATAAGCATTGAAACAGCGTCATGGCGCTGTCTCCGGTGCCATGGCGCTACGCACGGAGAAAATCCGTGCACGCTCCATCTGGACAGCACCGCGGCGTTGTCCCCTAGCACTGCGGCGCTGCCTCCTCGGCCCGAATGGCCTGCACCGCTCTGCTTCCCTGTTTTTCATCCCCGCTTCGACCCCGACGCGTCCCGATTCCATCTCGAATCCTCCGTAGCTCGTTCCGATGTCGTTTTGACTCCACCCATCCCAACAAAAACTTTACCAATCATCAATACCATTATCATAATGATTCTTTTTCGCATGGTAGTTTTTTATTTACATAATTGTGTTAATTGAGTGTACTAATGATCATATACCACTTTAGCAAAACAAAATAAAAAGAGAAAATAGTCTTAAATGCATAGTTATTCTAAAAAGAAATCTTAAATGCATAATCAATATAGTAATCTAAACATTTACAATTTTGTAGAATATATAAATTACCAACGCAACTCCTAACCCAAATTTTAGAAACAAGACTGCAAGTGAAACTTAATCTTTTTCCCCTTTTGTTCAAAAGTTTTCAAGACTTGATAAAGAGTGTCTTATAAACATTTAGAAAATACAGAAATTAAACTTTAACTGTACAAATTATTTATAAAAAAATTCAACTTAACTGCTCAATGTTTGAATTTTCCAAAATTGTGGCCAAATTTTTCTTTTAAATTTGAATTATGTACTGGTATCTACTTACTATTTGATTTCTTTTATATAAATAAATTAATTTATTTGGAATGTCTAACAAACAATTACTATTGATTCAATTTGGGTTCTTATTATTTAATTTATAAATTTAATCTTTGTAGTGATTCCCAATATTCTACATATATATAAATATAATTTTTTTTACTACAAATAATTAATTTCTATTGGACAAATAGAGATAAAAAGCATCCATCTTTACCTTGAATTAATTGCCACTTTTGCATAACTCAAATCAATTAAAACATATATTATTGATAAAAAGTTGGAAATTCGTCCATTAAATTCACATTAATAGTATAATCAATACTCGAAATCAATGAAAATTTAGACTTACAAATAAACGTATTGCTATTGGGTTCAATGACAAATTTAATTCCCAAACTCAAAAGTAAAAAATAAAAATATTAGTATTTAATCAAAGATTAAATTAGGAACTCAACTAAGTTTCAATTGTTTCAGTTTGATTCTTTTGGTCGAAGTGAGTTGTAATTGACATATATCTCCAACAAAGAAGTTGTGAGTTCGATCCTCCACCCCACCTACTCCTTTTCTCTAATTTTGTTACTCATTCCCAGATCTGGATACATTCAACTTATAGAATTAGTCGAATAGAAAACATAATATAAACAAAAAGAAAAATATATATAATACTCAATATGGTAACAAGTAGTGATGGAGATAATTAGTGAGATATAACTAAATGATAGGACAAAAAAGCATCAATTTTCGATCAAAAGGTCGTGAGTTCGTTTCATCCTCGTTATAAAAAAATGAAATTAAAAAGATTTTAAATTAGCAAAATGATTACTATATTGCAATTATTATTTTTATTTTTGGGTGCTGGATGTGGCCGAAAACGGAACCTGAGACAGAGGCCACTGATAGAGTTGCAAATGGCCCAATAATCTGGAGTGGGCTGGCTGGACTGGATGTTCCAGCCGCCGCCCGCTCAAAGGTCCAAAATTTCATCTTTATTACAACAAAATTCCAAAAGAAAAACTAAATCAAACTCTCCAATCTGGTCAGCCAATTTCTCGGACAACTCATTTCTTGAAGCGACGACTTTTTCTGAAACTATTAGTTCCTCCCCTTTCTGTGTCTCCGCTTCGAAGGGAAGTGACATGGGCAACGGCAAATTCATTTGAGCAGAAATTTGTAGTCGAAGGCAAAATGGGTTGTGGGAATTTGTTCTTCTTGGTTCTGGTGACCTTCTCGGTTGCTCTAATTACCTACAACATCATCATCTCTGCAAATGCCCCTCTCAAGCAAGAGCTTCCTGGTCCCTCAAGATCTTCCCCTTCCATTACCGTGGACCCTGTGATTAAGATGCCGCTGGATAGATCAAAAACTTCTTCCTCCAAGCGACTGTTCCACACGGCCGTTACTGCCTCGGATGGGGTGTACAACACTTGGCAGTGCCGGATCATGTACTACTGGTACAAGAAGTTCAAGGACGGTCCTAATTCTCAGATGGGTGGCTTCACCAGGATCTTGCATTCTGGGAAGCCCGATAAGTACATGGACGAGATTCCCACCTTTGTTGCTAAGCCTCTGCCGGCGGGGATGGATCGGGTACTACTTTCCTACTCTTGATTTCTGTTGTTTCAGGGTTGACCTTTGAGCTTGTAGACTTTGTTTTTGCTAATGCCTCTGCCTCTGCCTCTGCAAATTTATTGAAGATCTCTCTGTGCTATGTTATGATGATTTTGTTTATGCACTCCACCTGTTTGAAAGAATTCGCCTTAGGAAAGAAAAGGCTGTTTTTAGTGAAATGATGTCAAATGGGCAACACTCTGTAGTTGAATTTAAAGTTTTCTGTGTTGGTTTTTACCCTTTGACTGAAGTTACCTTCTATTAGCCATAGCTCATCTGTGGTCTGTTCTGTTACAGGGCTACATAGTCCTCAACAGGCCATGGGCGTTTGTGCAATGGCTTCAACAAGCGGACATCAAGGAAGAGTAGGAGGAACTTGCTTTCCTGTTTTAATTGACTGATGGATTGATCATCTTTCCACTTTGAATTGAGACTGATCATTTTTGTATATGCATACAGTTATATACTTATGTCAGAGCCGGATCATATCATTGTCAAGCCTATACCTAATCTGGCTAAGGATGGGCTTGGGGCTGCATTTCCATTCTTTTACATCGAACCGAAGAAGTACGAGAGTCAACTTCGGAAGTTCTTCCCAGAGGACAAGGGTCCGATTACCAACATTGATCCAATAGGGAACTCACCTGTTATTGTTGGAAGGGTATGCAACACCAGTGATAAATGCTTGTTCTCTTGCGTCTCTGTCTTACTTTTCTCTTTTCTCCTTTGAATAAAATTTTGGTAGGAGTCTCTCAAAAAAATTGCTCCCACTTGGATGAATATTTCCTTGGCAATGAAGAAGGATCCTGAGGCAGATAAGGCTTTTGGCTGGGTTCTTGAAATGTAAGCTT